AACCGCCTTCGTTGGATAAGTGGCTATGTGTGTGCAGACATAATACGAGTGAGAATCAGATGATAAACAATGCCCTGCTTATTTAAGGAAAGGAGAAAAGAGGAATAAGGAAGTAAGCGTGTAAATAAAACGTAAGAACGGTTATGAAGAAAATAAAAAAAAAATTGTTAAATAAAGTAACTACCTAAAAGCGTAAAACTGAAGCGAAAAACGTTTCAAAAAGTGGACATGCAAAGTAATGATTGCAAGTTCAGATGAGAAGGAAAAGGATAAAAATATTGTAGACGGGTGAACTGTGAAAGAAAATGATTTTTCAGTCATTGAAAGTAAAAAAATGCAATAGTGTATTTCCTTCGGAAAATACACTAAAAATTAATCAAAATTTTGTTGCAATGCTTTTTTGCGTTTTGAAATTTCAGTATCATTAAAGCAAAAATCGATTCGTGCCTTCTGTCCCTTTTTCGTTCAACTGATCTGCCTCGTAAATGTCAAAAATCGAATCATGCCTTCTGTCCCTTTTTCGTTTAATTAATCTGCCTCGCAAATTTCAAGAACTGCATGTGAGCATGTACAAAAGCGTCATTAATAACATATTTTGACAGGGTTTTCCTCTCCCTCTCATTTTTTCATTTTGTTTTTTCCTCCCTCTCCTTGCCAAAATTTATCACGCTATTATATTGCTGTTGGCGCACGAACATAACCAGTTTCTCGATTTTTGCTAATTTTCAGTTTGTTTTGCATTTGAGTATCCCGTAGCGCACAATCCGTTGCATTTTGCTTTTCATTTTGGCGAGCGATAAGAGAATAAAACCCATAACATTGACAGAACCCAACGCGTATCCTTCAATAATCATTGGTTCGGATTTTTTCAGCCATAACTCCCTGGAAAGTTTAAAGTCATTGTTTATTTGCTTACAATTACATTACCGGCGCGTTTCAGGAATTTACATATCACCAGGGAGCATATGTATATTAATTTCCACTCACAAATACATCTTCAAATCACTATTCATGAATAGATCTGACGAGAATACTTTATTTAAAAAACTTTAATTCTTCTTGAAATACGAGGACCCGAAAGGGTATCCCGGGATAAGCATGTCAAAATGCCCTTGTGAACGGATTTTTATTTTAACCACTTTAAGTCATCAAGGGTGTCCTAAAACTTAGGTTTTGGGGAATTTTAGCCCCCCAACCCCCTCCGCCCCCCCTCAGACCCCCAAAAACCGCTTTTTAGGGCTATTTTTGACTATGCTAACGTCTTTTCCTCATAACTTTCTTAATTTTCGATAGAATTGAACCAAAATTTGTCAGAATCTACATCAATCAGCTTAGTTTCTGTAGAAAAAAATTCATCATCATCGAATAATATTTTAGCTTCTAAAAAAATTCGTAAAATTTTTAAAAAAAATAATTTTTTTCCTTTTTTCGCGCTAGGTGACGTATGGAAACGAGGACACAAACAAAAATTGTCTCTTTTCTTAAGTTATACATCCCATAAGATACAGAAAAAATTTCGTGTTGATCGGAGTGGTGCGCCATACTTAAAAACGCAATTTTCTAACCTCAAAACGGCCAAAATGCCACCATAGCCTCCTTTGATGACTAGGCGTGGGGAAATATGTAGAGAGAAACATCCGGTTTTATCGTCTCACCTCTTACGTGACCCACTTAAGTACCTTGAGCCAAAATTTCGAGTCGATCAGAGTGGTGCGCAACACCCAAGCACGCAATTTTCTAACCTCAAAACGGTCAAATTGCCCATTTCGGCACCCATTATCACTCCGTGTCAAAAAATAAGAAGAGGGACATCCGGTTTTATCGTCTCACCTCTTAAGTGATCCACTTAAGTACCTTGAGTCAAAATTTCGAGTTGATCAGAGTGGTGCGCAACACCCAAGCACGCAATTTTCTAACCTCAAAACGGCCAAATTGCCCATTTCGGCTGATTTCGGCACCCATTACCACTCCGTGTCAAAAAGTAAGAAGAGGGACATCCGATATTATTGTCCTACCTCAATAATTAGTCACTTAAGTGCATTTAGTCGAAATTTCGTGTCGATCAGAGTGGTGCGCAACACCCGAACACGCCGTTTTCTTGTTAATTTATTTACTAGCATTTGCCAGTACTCAGTGCAATACTACGTATTATTGAAGTTTGGAGGAGGGAACGCTTCTACGTGGGGGATGAGCGAGCCTCCCTACTGTCATATAATTCCTGGGAGTTCAGAGGTTTCGCTGAGTGATCGGGTCTGCTACGTGGTAGGGTGCCAACTGCCAAAATGAACTTTGAAATGTGCATCATGCACTTTTCAAGCGGGCTCGTCGCTGACATACGAGAGTCATCCAAAAAGTAAGTTTCCCTACCTTGTATCTTCCGAACGAAAAAAGATAAATCAAATCGGTAAGTAATCACATATTGAACATACTCTAAGCTTTAAAACAAGCTCAAGTTTTTGAAAATCGGTCAAGGGGTTCGCGAGTAAACTCAATTTTACTGAGACAACCTCCAGTCGCCGCGTGCCCACCTCCGGGGTCAGGATGCGCGGAGAGACGATTATAGAAGACTCGGGTTATCGCCTCTATACATCACATCAACAAGGAATTTTCATGTTTTCATTGAGTAGGCCTTACCTTACTTTTTGACATAGTCTCCACATCTTTTTTGATATTTCTGGTATCATCATAGCAGCTTCTTGATGCCTTTCGCGTAGAAGCTTTCGCCTTCACTCTGAAACCAGTCATTGAGAGCGATCTGCACCTCTGAATCGGTTGAAAATCGCTTCCATCGTGGAAGTTTTTCCGCTCGGGAACAAATGAAAGTCACATGAAGCTAAAGTACGAAAGTTTGCAGGATTGGGGGAAAATTTTCCTTCGCTAAGCAACTGATTTGGGAGTGCACATCGCTGTCAATGACTAGTTTCGGAGCCAAGACGAGATCTTCTACGCGGAGGGCGTCAAGAAGCTGCTGGTAATGATACCCAAAATGTCAAAGAAGATGTGAAGACTATAACGTCAAAACTTATACGTCAAAAAGTAAGGTAACTACTACTAACTACTGCTAAGGTAGTTACTCAATGAGAACTTTAAAATTTCTTGTTGATGTGATGTATAGAGGCGATAACCCTAGTCTTCTATAATCGACTCTCCGCGCATCCTGACCCCGAAGGTGGGCACGCGGCGACAGGAGGTTGTCTCAGTAAAATTGAGTTTACTTGCGAACCCCTTTACGGATTTTCAAGAACTAAAGCTTGTTTTAAAGCTTAGAGTATGTCTAATATGTGCCTTTTTACCGATTTGATTTATCTATTTTCGTTCGGAAGATACAAGGTAGGGAAACTTACTTTTTGGATGACCCTCGTACAATGATAATGAATGCCAAAATGGGAATTTTGGGAGGTTTCAGGTTAGAAAACGGCGTGTTCGGGTGTTGCGCACCACTCTGATCGACACGAAATTTCGACTAAATGCACTTAAGTGACTAATTATTGAGGTAGGACAATAATATCGGATGTCCCTCTTCTTACTTTTTGACACGGAGTGGTAATGGGTGCCGAAATCAGCCGAAATGGGCAATTTGGCCGTTTTGAGGTTAGAAAATTGCGTGCTTGGGTGTTGCGCACCACTCTGATCAACTCGAAATTTTGACTCAAGGTACTTAAGTGGATCACTTAAGAGGTGAGACGATAAAACCGGATGTCCCTCTTCTTATTTTTTGACACGGAGTGATAATGGGTGCCGAAATGGGCAATTTGACCGTTTTGAGGTTAGAAAATTGCGTGCTTGGGTGTTGCGCACCACTCTGATCGACTCGAAATTTTGGCTCAAGGTACTTAAGTGGGTCACGTAAGAGGTGAGACGATAAAACCGGATGTTTCTCTCTACATATTTCCCCACGCCTAGTCATCAAAGGAGGCTATGGTGGCATTTTGGCCGTTTTGAGGTTAGAAAATTGCGTTTTTAAGTATGGCGCACCACTCCGATCAACACGAAATTTTTTCTGTATCTTATGGGATGTATAACTTAAGAAAAGAGACAATTTTTGTTTGTGTCCTCGTTTCCATACGTCACCTAGCGCGAAAAAAGGAAAAAAATTATTTTTTTTAAAAATTTTACGAATTTTTTTAGAAGCTAAAATATTATTCGATGATGATGAATTTTTTTCTACAGAAACTAAGCTGATTGATGTAGATTCTGACAAATTTTGGTTCAATTCTATCGAAAATTAAGAAAGTTATGAGGAAAAGACGTTAGCATAGTCAAAAATAGCCCTAAAAAGCGGTTTTTGGGGGTCTGAGGGGGGGCGGAGGGGGTTGGGGGGCTAAAATTCCCCAAAACCTAAGTTTTAGGACACCCTTGATGACTTAAAGTGGTTAAAATAAAAATCCGTTCACAAGGGCATTTTGACATGCTTATCCCGGGATACCCTTTGTTAAGAACAACCAGATGACAAGTTTAATATGAGGAGGGAAAGTGGAGTGGAGCGGTGCGAGTGTTGTTGCTATCTCGAGAGACTGGCTCTTGAAGAAACTGTTATTTAAAGAGAAAACCCTCGGTTTTTTTTTTAAAAAAAAGGAGGGGGTGCATAAATCAAAGATTTACAATATGACAAGGGATGGGGTGGTACGTTTAAACTTTTCTGTTAAGTTTAATTTTAAGTACACATCTCTAATTGGACGCAGTTATTCAGCGAGGCTGCGTATCCGCATATCTAAACTTTTCAGGAGAGCGCTTCAACTCCAGGCAACTTTATCCATTGGATTTTTCCGGTTAGTAATACAATTTTTTAGTTACCCAAGCTTCTTTAAAAGTTCAGAAATCCCTTTAACGACAAGCGTTGCCAAATCCTCATGAAATTACGTTTTTGTGTTATATTTAACCCAAAAACGTAATTTCTTGAGATTCCCTAGAGATTCCCTTTGAGTTTTCCTAGATTCCTGCTTTAGAGAGAAGGGAAGGAGATCTCTTATTCTGGATATTCTTATCAAGGAGATATCTTATCAATTATTAATATTATTACAATTATTTTTGCGTACCATGTGATGAAAAGACTCGTAATCAAAGTCTGTAGAATCTTCGAGAGACAACTCCTCATCCATGGATTCCAATAATTCCTCAACTGTTTCAGCACTTGCATCATTCTCTTCTGGATATCCACCTTGGTAGCCACCTTGGAACCATAAGGCGTAGTTACGACATAGTCTAACTGCATTCGCTCAATGACTGCGAAATCTGTCATGAGACTTTTTCGTACCTTGATCTTAGGATGTACCCTTTAATGACTTCAATTGATTAATTTGAATCATCTTCTGTCATGAGTTCTGATTTTTGGTGCAAATTGTGTTGTTCATCTCGATTGCATTACCGACCGTTGCTGCTATTGTAGATAGGATTTAAGCAGTTTTAAGGAAACTACTTAAAGCGATTCGCCTCCGAACAGGGTCATTCTTTTCAGTAGGCCAACAATCAACCTTCTGAAGGGAGATAAAATGGAACCCGTTCCTCTGTACGTAGTTCGTCTCTACCAACGAAACGTTTAAAATGACTTATTTCCTATTCCTACTTGACAAAGGAAACTTTCGGAGTTGTTGAAATTTGAAGAACACTTATTTACACATTTAATTTAAAAAAAAACACAAAATATCACAATACACTTTTTCGAAACAATTATACAAACAATAATTCACACCCGATTCATTACAATCAAAGACAACAATCAACCTTCTGAAGAGGATGAACGGCATACGTTCCCTGTAGGTAGTTGTCCTCTACCAACGAATCAGTGGATCGAGTCAATAGGAGGGGTCGGACAAAATGTGGAAACTTTGAGCTCATAACCGCGTTGATACAAAACTTTGAGGTTTTTGAAGTGGTTCCATTGGTTTCCCCGTGAAATTTTCTTCTCGGAGCAATCTTTAAAATTTGAAATGTGACGAAATAAACATCATTTGCTGTTTCAGTAAAAAATTTCCTGTCTGACCTTTCTGATTGACTCGATCCACTGTGCGACGCGGCGCGTAGGGTAGGTCACCGGGATGATCCGCGACCACGCGACTCGCGAGTCTGACATGTCGTGGCCACTCCCGCGTCCATTTTGCCCACATGTACGATGCCGTCGACTAATAATAGCCGGTACACTCAACGCGTGTCGTCGGCGACAGCAGCAGTGGCAACGTCAATGTCTGCTATGGAAGGCCGTTTGGGACAATACTCCCTGTCCCTCGCAACTCTTCCCACTGTTGGAACTCCCCCTTCGTTACTATTTACTCCTTCCGTGCGCGATTTCAGTCTCCCTCTTTGCCTTCCACCTTAATGACGTTTGGTTGTTCCTAGGTATTTATTATAATTTACTACTAGGCCTTGTGAGGTTGGTTTATAACTTTAAGAAGCTTGTTTTTTCATGTTTAAAGCTGTGCAGAGGCAAATGGGGGTTCCATCATAAAAAAGAAGTGACAATAAGAACCTCAAAAACTAAAAGGTAACTACATAAAGTCAGTTTTGGAAACTGAGAAAACAAGAATGAAAAAGTGTTGTGAATTCTACAGTTACAGTATCATGCCATCACGCCTTATTGAGATTTTTGCAAAGCTTGAAGACAGGGCAAACATATGCTTTAAATTCATCGTAATCTGTTGTCTGAATGGGTAAAGTTAGTTCATTGAAACATGTGTTGGCATCCGGATTAGGGTTCCTCCTATTCGTTTCAAACTTGATGCTGGGCCGATGTTAAAATCCTCCGAGCGGTATTGCGTCACAAGCCGTGACAAAAATTAATTCATATTAAAACATAATAATATAGTAAATTACTCACTTGCAGGATCCTGTGCCGGCGCGGAAGCGGAGATGAGCGGGACGGGCCGACGGGAATTTAAAAATGAAACGACCGAGTTAGCACCAAAAAACCAAAACAAAACTGGATGGTGACTGATAGACATTCGGCAGGATTTTTGTCAACCCTAGCCTCCCGGGCCAAGAAGGAATCTCTGCTAAACCGGCAGCACCGCATTCAATTTTATGATTATTTAATAAATATTCATATATTCATATATTGCCGGGATTTCTCGCAGATAGAGATGGATAGAGATAAGAGGGAAAATGACAGCAGATAGAGTAACATACGCCAGGAGAGAAGTTACAAATGGGGAGTAGATAGAGTAACATACGCTAGGAGAGAAGTTTCAAATGGGGAGTAGAGAGTTGCGAGGGCAGGGACTATTGTCCCTCGCAACTCTTCCCACTGTTGGAACTCCCCCTTCGTTACTATTTACTCCTTCCGTGCGCGATTTCAGTCTCCCTCTTTGCCTTCCACCTTAATGACGTTTGGTTGTTCCTAGGTATTTATTATAATTTACTACTAGGCCTTGTGAGGTTGGTTTATAACTTTAAGAAGCTTGTTTTTTCATATTTAAAGCTGTGCAGAGGCAAATGGGGGTTCCATCATAAACAAGAAGTGATAATTAGTCTGCGGCTGGGAATTCTCATCCCACTGGAGCGCGCGCGGTTGTCTGGTGTCTTGAACTTCCAGCGCGATAGAAGCAATGCAAGTGTAGACACAGGGCGTCGCAAGTGCAATGCTGACACGCGTCGCAAGGACAGTGCTGACACAAAAGCGTCGCAACTGCAGTGCTGACACGCGTCGCAACGGCAGTGCTTGCACAAAAGCGTCGCAAATGCAGTGCTGACACGTACGGGATGGACCAGATGAGGCGAAAGCAAAGATGAGACCAATTGTACAGATGAGACGATATGTCTACTGCTGATGAAACGCAAACACAGGCACAAGATCATACACAAGCTGGATTCAGGGTAGAAGGGATGAGGAGCGGCCAAGTGCCGCTCGATCGTCAGTCTGCCCAAAAATAAGGAGGAGGATAAATAGGGGAGGTTGTCTCCCAGGGCACAGAACAATAACTAGCTAACACAAGTTACATTTTTTTTGGGGGGGGGAGGGAGGGAAGTAATTAGGTTAATTAATTAATTATGTAGGGCAATTGAAAAAAATGCGGTAAAGAAGAAGATTTTATAAAATCCCGACACCTTCACGTTGGGAGGTTTTGACTAACTTTTAGAAATTCCTTTTCTTCTTTTGCCGTAGCCAATTTTGGCGCTTCTTGGCTGCACGTCCTTGATGACCAGCCCGAGTAGGGTGGAGCGAAGAAATCGAATTTCGCGGGAGCAGCGGGTCTCATTGAATAAAAGTTGTCAAATGGGCCCAATATGACGTACAAGAAATTTCGCCGCATAAAATTGATCCCCTCCCATTCCATAGTGCCAGGCCTAAATTTTCAGTAGGAGATATCATGGTTTCAGACATATCAATTTCGAAAGATTTTCAAAAGTTAGGGTCGTTTGGGCCGAAATTTCGTCCATTTTGTCGTATCATGAACTCAAAACGCACAATTTGCTCGTATTTGTAAGAAAAAATTGCCGCGCGGGCACCCTTCCAGGATGCATCGAGATTGAAGAATCCGTCGCCGAATTCTCGATGTTTACCGAGAGACCAACTTAGTAAAAAACTAAGTAGATTTCTCAACAGCACGAGTGTCAACACGAGGATCGTGTCGAACTGCCACTCGTACCGTATGAGAGAGTAAAAATCAGGGGAGACAGCCCAGAAGTCAACACGACAAGTCGTATTGGGAAGCCTCCTATGCTGAGGTCCTCCCAGGTGAGACGTACTTGATAAAATGATAGTGAACCAATCGATATGCAGGTGAAGCTGAAGTTTATTTTGAGGAATACAAACAATCGATGTTTGTATCGTTGCCTCAAGAGATATACGTCACGGGAAAGTTTTCCGCATTTGACGGAGTCGCAAGAGCGTGAGGTAGATTCAGAGCGAAGAGCTGACGAGGACTAACGCGGCTCTCTCAACTGATTTTACTCCAAGGGATGCACCGCATCTCGCGCCGCGCATGCGCAGTGGAGTCCTCAAGACAAGCGGGGGTGGTGAAGAGAGAGAGAGAGCAATGTTGGATGAGGTAGTGAGATCGAGAAGAAATGCAGAGCCGAGGGTTGAAGATTAGAGAAAGATAGATACATACATACGCGAGAGAGGAGCGAGAAGGATAGCGACATGTGATTCGTGCAAGGGGAAGCGTGCAGAAGGCTATTCATTTCAGTTGAAAGAGAAAGAGAAAGGCCCATTCATTCCTTTTAGAAAGAGTGCTACAAGAAAAGGAGGGGGCAACGACACAACATTCAATGACTTATGCTAACAAGAAAAATATTACCAAAATGACTTAAAATTAAAGTTAAATACCCAACAGAGATATTTGGTCAAACGGTGTGTGAGTATACTCATTCCTGGTAGTTTTCGAGGTTTTGCGGCGCCAAGGGCTGAAATTTCGACCGTTTTGGCGTACTTACAACGGTTAACCCATAAAAGCGTAAGCAAGGCGCTCCCGCGCTCCGCGGATGAAGTCGTCGCGGCGCGCGGCCGCCTGGCGTCGGGTTTAACCTTACCGGTGCAGGAACAGCAGCGACAGGAATTTTCGTGGCCAGCGGCAATGCTTATGAAGAAGACCTGGGTATGAATCACAAGTGTATATGCTATTGAGAAAGATATTTTGTTATAATGAAAAGGTTTTCTCGGAGAAGAACGATTTAATACGTAAAACTGAATCTGAAATAAATCGCGCATATTTTCACTGAAATAAATACACATATTTTTGAAAACTGTGTGCAGGCTTTAGCCTATTTTTACACTCCAGTCTCAAAAAGGAGAAAAAGAAAAGTAAAAATAGTTACCAGAGCTTACCACGGGGAGGCCCTGCACTTGAAGCTCCACCCCCCCCCCCAAACCCTTTCATGGAACTGTGACGGTTTCTTACGTGAATATTCGAGATAAATTGTTAATTTCTTACCTCATCACTGAGGCTACTTGAATGGCGTTTAGATACATTTCAGATCCAAAATTCTGATTTGGTGTTGAATTTCGGCATCTTCTTTCTACGGCCAAGTCGCTGGATTATTAGAAGATGTTTTTCTTCCTGCGCGGTTGCTATAAGAAATAATAGCGGCAACGCACTGTAACAGCCTTTCACTCTTAATCTGTATAAACCTACTGGCAGGAAAAAAACAAACAAACAAAAAACAAAAACAAAAAAAAACTAATAAAGAAAACATTCTTATTGAAGACTAAATACAGAACAAACGGCAAATCAATAGCTGAGTGACCTCCGTTACACAAGAAGCCTCGTTCTTCAAAATCCTGCACACAGCGGACAGCTTCCTCACCTCTTGGCCGTCTTATCCAAGTGTTGCGACGATCATACATTTTTTGATAGATACTCGGACATAGAACATGAGCATGGCCGCGGTCAATGCCGAACCGATCTGCTACACTTCTAAATGATTCGGGGGTTGCAAGAAGCCACAAAGACAGTAGTAATGCATGCTCGAATGGTATTGAAGGCCTGCCTTCTGAATGTATTTCGTCTTCTTTCAATTCCATGCACAGCTCCTGCAATCAGAGAAATGAAAGTTGCACATTAAAGAATAATGACATGCAGAAAATTATTTTGAATTTAGGCTGATCTCTAACTATTGCCTCAATGGGCTGCTGCTTCATATAAATCACTTTCAGGGTTGTTCCGCAGCCCACTGATAAGATGCTTCAGCTCAAATTTTAGGTACAGTGCAGGGTTACTAGCAGCAAACTATACAGGTTTTTGTGTTGCCGCTTTACGGATGGAAATCGATTAAAACATCTTATTTGCTGTGCTTACCTCTACTCCACTCCGGGTAAGGCGGAAGTGTCTTCGAAAATCCAAGTCCGACATGTAGTATACAACATTAACCACATAGTGTTTGTTTCGAACATGCTCTTCCTCTTCCGTATGGAGCATAATAGGCAGATCTTCATCTCCACTGTCCGAGTTATCATCGTCGCTCTCGTCACTGAAGGCAGGTGCAATTGGTGCATTTATGTGATCCTCGAGAATCTGAGCTGCAGCCAAAATCGCAGCATTCAAATTAGGAATGGGTGGTGGCACATCCATGTTTCAACTTATTTCGCTGCACAGCGCACTACACGGTCTATTAACTACTACATACTGTCAATTATATTTCTCTTTTTTCATGGAGAACGCGAAGCCACTCTCACTAAATGTAAATAAAGCATAACCTAAAAATGAGCACGACGGGCACAAATTTACTAAGCGGGAGGACCAACAACTGGTCTCAGCAGACAACATTTGTTTACTAACAACTCTACGTCATCGCTCAGCGGATATCTCCAAAATGGCGGACTGACGTCATTTCGCTGCCTTCACTTTTTGAGTTTAACCAGCCCGAGGCCGCTGGAGTCCGAAAGGGTCTTTCGGGGTCTTGTAACGAGTAATGTTTACAATCTTGTGTCGTTTCTAACGAAAATATTATTTCGGGCTTAGGTCCAAAAATGGTTCAACCAAGATTGCGAGAAAGGTATTACATTTTATTAGCAAAAATACATCTCGCCGGTTCGATACAACGCAAGCGACTGACTAACTATAAAACTATCATGACCGGACGCATCGTCTCAATTCCCTCGCTCATGCAGGAGGTGAAACTCCCGGTTATGAGTCTCCAGCCGAAAAATACCTTTCTTTTACTGATAATAGGGTTTCTATTTCAAATGTCTCCCCTTATTCCTCTTCATTAGTTAAATGTTATTTTATTTCTCTTGTGTAGGTATTTTTCAGGTAGAGCACAATTCCACGGCGATTCACTTCTTTTCACATAGCTGCAAATTTACAACAAATTATCCTTTTTATTGTTTCTACTCTAACCAACATCTTGAACAGGAGCGGAGTCCGGTAGCTCAGCCAGGAGCACGTGCAGTACCGCAAAGGCCTCCTTTTTAATGCTCGGTGGTAGTTATCGACCTACTGAGCGTCGCGACGCGGCGCGAATCCCAAGCGACGCCACTGTTGGGGGTTTTATCGTTTCTCCACCCTTATTCCTGGATAGGGACCACTATCCTGAAGTCAGCAAATTTTCAAGAACAACCCTCTAACTCTCAACGTGTTCATCGGGTAATCAGAAAGAGACCTGATACCTACGTCCAGAGAACGCATCTCTTGTTGTAGAGTGTTACACGAGAGAACTACCCCTTCAAGATTCCTGAATATTTTCAATAACAAGTGCGGTCAAAAACTTAAAATTCTAGATTAAACTGACTAGAATTTGATGCAGATAGTTAAAACTATTGAATAGGCGAGTGAAAGCTGTGATTATGTGTAATGCTGCAGTTACATGTACTGAAAGCTTTGATAAGTGATGTGTGAATTCTGGGTGGGCAAAAATTTCATAATGCTAAAGAACTTCTTTGATTTCGAAGCTCTGTGGATGGCACTACGCATATGCATGGAACTAGTGATGGTTGAGACACTTCCACAAGGTTATGAGATCAAAGAGGTTTCATGAAGCATTTTTACATTTCTGTCAAAGAACCTTGGAGCATAGAGTCACACTTTCGTAGGTTCAGGTTAGGCGAACTTGTACTAAGCAACGGACAAGCAAACATGAGATCTCTGTGTTGCTTTGTTCACTTGAGCAACATGATATATAATACCTAGAGAGGCTGGTCAATATCAATAAAAATCAGAGAAAATATGCCTAGAAATGATGAGGTTTACCTTCGACGAGTTGAGCGGAACTCGGGGTCATTCCCCACTCTTCGACTAGGATCCGTACGAAGTCCGAGTACATTCTTCTTAGTTCTTCTCACCAAAACAAACTTCTTTCACTCTTTTCACTTTTCACTACATATTAAAACTTCCACGACGCGATCACACAAGACAAACGGCAACAAACGAACACTGAAACTGAAATACGACGGACAAGTCAGAAGCACAACAGGTATAAACATGAAAGAGGCCGGTTCCATCACTTACCAGCTCCATCAAAAACCGGGTCTCCGCTGGGAGCACTTTTCCAATAAGTCGCGGGGGATTTAAATTTCAGGTTCCTAAAGCCGTGGGATTAGTATTAAACTGGGACTCAACTGCCTGAAGATCAGCGCCAGACTCGGGCGCCAATATTTATTCCGTTACTAAACTCTGTCTCTTAACATTTTTGGTCCGCTGATATGAATACCTAAGTAGTCAAAACGAAAAACTTCGAGACTGAGAACCTAAATTACTCAAATCAACAGACCAAGGCCAATTTGGGACCTCGGTAGGTTGAACCGCATACGCCACCGAATGTTCTGGCGTACTGAACCCATCGGTGCGCTCATCCCCGAACTTTTTTTCTCCGTGAACGACGTCAATTTGGTTTTCCTGTTACTCACCGCAACGTGGCCTCAACGATTGATTTCAATGAATTAGGCATAAAAGGCCGACTGTGAAAGGTGAAGGTCTATGACGCGCCGTTTGGACAGAAAAACATAATTTTTTGTGCGATCGATGATGCGGGCGCACCGGTCCAATCGGTGTCAACTATTTTTCCCAGACTCTGATTGGCCGGCAATTTTCCGCAATTTCCCTAAAATCGAAGGAAAACCTCTCATCGAAACGCCTTTTTCATGATTGCCGAACCAATAACAAATCCATTGATATATTATACATAATGAGTTCCTGCAAATTTAACTAACTTATATAAAGCCATCAAAATTCAATATTGTGATCCCATAACCTCATTCTGA